GATCGAATGCTATCGATCATGTTGCAATGTGGCCACCAGTCTAGGTGACTCGACACTGCGGGTACTATGTAATGAGATTAGATGGTGGTTGGAGGTAGTCAACAGGAAACCCTGGACCCGGGTTTCGTGCTACTTGGCACTCGTCAGCAAGGTGTACCTGTAATCTTGAGGGAACTGGTGCTCCCTGGCGGATTCGATCTCGTGTCACCCAGCTTCACAGTCAGAGACGTTACCACTGAGCTATCCGAGCCGTGACTAACCTCCTGTAGGACTGAGATGTAATCACAATTGATTGATCACTGGGTGGTGATCAATCTCATGCTTGTCTAGTCCTTATTAGTGCAGATCGAATGCTATCGATCATGTTGCAATGTGGCCACCAGTCTAGGTGACTCGACACTGCGGGTACTATGTAATGAGATTAGATGGTGGTTGGAGGTAGTCAACAGGAAACCCTGGACCCGGGTTTCGTGCTACTTGGGACTCGTCAGCAAGGTGTACCTGTAATCTTGAGGGAACTGGTGCTCCCTGGCGGATTCGATCTCGTGTCACCCAGCTTCACAGTCAGAGACGTTACCACTGAGCTATCCGAGCCGTGACTAACCTCCTGTAGGACTGAGATGTAATCACAATTGATTGATCACTGGGTGGTGATCAATCTCATGCTTGTCTAGTCCTTATTAGTGCAGATCGAATGCTATCGATCATGTTGCAATGTGGCCACCAGTCTAGGTGACTCGACACTGCGGGTACTATGTAATGAGATTAGATGGTGGTTGGAGGTAGTCAACAGGAAACCCTGGACCCGGGTTTCGTGCTACTTGGGACTCGTCAGCAAGGTGTACCTGTAATCTTGAGGGAACTGGTGCTCCCTGGCGGATTCGATCTCGTGTCACCCAGCTTCACAGTCAGAGACGTTACCACTGAGCTATCCGAGCCGTGACTAACCTCCTGTAGGACTGAGATGTAATCACAATTGATTGATCACTGGGTGGTGATCAATCTCATGCTTGTCTAGTCCTTATTAGTGCAGATCGAATGCTATCGATCATGTTGCAATGTGGCCACCAGTCTAGGTGACTCGACACTGCGGGCACTATGTAATGAGATTAGATGGTGGTTGGAGGTAGTCAACAGGAAACCCTGGACCCGGGTTTCGTGCTACTTGGGACTCGTCAGCAAGGTGTACCTGTAATCTTGAGGGAACTGGTGCTCCCTGGCGGATTCGATCTCGTGTCACCCAGCTTCACAGTCAGAGACGTTACCACTGAGCTATCCGAGCCGTGACTAACCTCCTGTAGGACTGAGATGTAATCACAATTGATTGATCACTGGGTGGTGATCAATCTCATGCTTGTCTAGTCCTTATTAGTGCAGATCGAATGCTATCGATCATGTTGCAATGTGGCCACCAGTCTAGGTGACTCGACACTGCGGGCACTATGTAATGAGATTAGATGGTGGTTGGAGGTAGTCAACAGGAAACCCTGGACCCGGGTTTCGTGCTACTTGGGACTCGTCAGCAAGGTGTACCTGTAATCTTGAGGGAACTGGTGCTCCCTGGCGGATTCGATCTCGTGTCACCCAGCTTCACAGTCAGAGACGTTACCACTGAGCTATCCGAGCCGTGACTAACCTCCTGTAGGACTGAGATGTAATCACAATTGATTGATCACTGGGTGGTGATCAATCTCATGCTTGTCTAGTCCTTATTAGTGCAGATCGAATGCTATCGATCATGTTGCAATGTGGCCACCAGTCTAGGTGACTCGACACTGCGGGCACTATGTAATGAGATTAGATGGTGGTTGGAGGTAGTCAACAGGAAACCCTGGACCCGGGTTTCGTGCTACTTGGGACTCGTCAGCAAGGTGTACCTGTAATCTTGAGGGAACTGGTGCTCCCTGGCGGATTCGATCTCGTGTCACCCAGCTTCACAGTCAGAGCCGTTACCACTGAGCTATCCGAGCCGTGACTAACCTCCTGTAGGACTGAGATGTAATCACAATTGATTGATCACTGGGTGGTGATCAATCTCATGCTTGTCTAGTCCTTATTAGTGCAGATCGAATGCTATCGATCATGTTGCAATGTGGCCACCAGTCTAGGTGACTCGACACTGAGGGCACTATGTAATGAGATTAGATGGTGGTTGGAGGTAGTCAACAGGAAACCCTGGACCCGGGTTTCGTGCTACTTGGGACTCGTCAGCAAGGTGTACCTGTAATCTTGAGGGAACTGGTGCTCCCTGGCGGATTCGATCTCGTGTCACCCAGCTTCACAGTCAGAGACGTTACCACTGAGCTATCCGAGCCGTGACTAACCTCCTGTAGGACTGAGATGTAATCACAATTGATTGATCACTGGGTGGTGATCAATCTCATGCTTGTCTAGTCCTTATTAGTGCAGATCGAATGCTATCGATCATGTTGCAATGTGGCCACCAGTCTAGGTGACTCGACACTGCGGGCACTATGTAATGAGATTAGATGGTGGTTGGAGGTAGTCAACAGGAAACCCTGGACCCGGGTTTCGTGCTACTTGGCACTCGTCAGCAAGGTGTACCTGTAATCTTGAGGGAACTGGTGCTCCCTGGCGGATTCGATCTCGTGTCACCCAGCTTCACAGTCAGAGACGTTACCACTGAGCTATCCGAGCCGTGACTAACCTCCTGTAGGACTGAGATGTAATCACAATTGATTGATCACTGGGTGGTGATCAATCTCATGCTTGTCTAGTCCTTATTAGTGCAGATCGAATGCTATCGATCATGTTGCAATGTGGCCACCAGTCTAGGTGACTCGACACTGCGGGCACTATGTAATGAGATTAGATGGTGGTTGGAGGTAGTCAACAGGAAACCCTGGACCCGGGTTTCGTGCTACTTGGCACTCGTCAGCAAGGTGTACCTGTAATCTTGAGGGAACTGGTGCTCCCTGGCGGATTCGATCTCGTGTCACCCAGCTTCACAGTCAGAGACGTTACCACTGAGCTATCCGAGCCGTGACTAACCTCCACCCAGTGATCAATCAATTGTGATTACATCTCAGTCCTATAAGAGGTTAGTCACGGCTCGGATAGCTCAGTGGTAACGTCTCTGACTGTGAAGCTGGGTGACACGAGATCGAATCCGCCAGGGAGCACCAGTTCCCTCAAGATTACAGGTACACTTTGCTGACGAGTCCCAAGTAGCACGAAACCCGGGTCCAGGGTTTCCTGTTGACTACCTCTAACCACCATCTAATTCCATAAATCATTAGTTCAGAATACATGCATTATAGATATATATCCTGAACGACACAGCAATGTGTTCCATAGTTTCTCCTTTCCATTTATACACCCATTTATAAGAGGCCCGTTCAATTAAAAGCCTACTTTGCACATGACGATTGAATATGTTACTTATCATCCTTGAATATCCACCAATGTGGATTCCGGTAATAGCTTTAATATGAAGTTGTTAATTTTGGCGATGTATCTGATGTTGTTCACTGAATCAAAGTTTATAATTTTCCCATCTCCACTTTTGTTCCCTTATACTAAGAATTCTTCACAAATAAATTATCTTATGTGTTAACGCTGAATCCCTAGATGAATCAGTACTGAAGATGATTAGGGCTTTCCTTCTCACAGTAAAATGATTGGTAAAGCATATAGATTATCCGCATACTGTAAAGTTAGTTTTTGATGGAATTTATTAAGTCACCTCAACTATATTTTGCAGACTTTGGATGGGGAGCGTAGTTATCAGAATTTTCGTAATGGCCGAAAAGTCCATGCCCCACTAGCTGTTCTCGTGAATCGGTCGAATACATCTTCAGTTTGACAACTATGCAATACGTTAGCAATGCGATTGAAGGGAATAAGTCGAATGTCGAACAAGTCTTAACGACTCTTGAGAATTCTTTAGACTTATCGCAAAACCTCTGCCAGAAAGCAATTTTAACCCAAATATTGGATCTTGATGTGAATCACTCTGGAAAACCTAATGTTAGGTGATCTTGGGATTCTTCTTCAAACAAGGTAACATTTTCAAAATAGGAACTCTGCTCAAACTATTTCACCACCCTCCGTAAGATATAGTTCACAAATGAGAGTATAATTATTTTACTGTCATCTAGTTGTTGTAGTTTTCTAATGAGTCTCCGGACAACCTGTGTACAATATGATGTGAAATAAGGAAATTCCGACTCATAAAATACTTCATATTGACCTCCTAAAATCTCAAAGGGTGTTATCGTCACACTTCTTAATGACAACAAAAGGCGACAGTTAATTGGATACAAAATCAAAATAATTGAGGTTATTTTTCAAATAATTGATTCATTGAGGAGCTGTTGCCACTGATACGTCACACAATGTATTAAGATGTTTTCGTCACTGAGATAACTTTCCATTTTAAACTCATGCTTCACCGATAATGTATTTCCTCACCAATCTGACTCGCATAACAATAGAAGTCCATCGAACTGTTCGCAAAACCTCACCTAGCATATGTTTCGTGTATCCTCTGTATTTTAAAAACTGAATCGACTAACGATACAGTTTACGTTTTTGATATGCGAATCATTAGTACCTCAAAGTAACTAATTATGTTGTTATTGGTACCACCCTGTTTTTAGTCGTTTACTAGAAACCATTAAAATATGAAATTAAACTTTTTAGGGAAATTCTTAATGTATAGTTTATAGATAACTGTTAAGTTTGTTCTCATTCATTCATATAGAAAAGTATAAAGTTTTGGTTTACCCGTGTTTTGTGCCTAATTAACTTTATTTTTATTCAAAATACTTTGGTTCCAATCCGGTATACTAATCATTTCATTTGTGGCCTATTGTAAAATGAAGACAAAAAAGGATTTCTATAAGAAATTTCGATAATTATGACACCTTACCAATATCCCAAGTTTGCATTTTTGCTTCAATTCATTGCTTCCTTAACGTGTAGTCGATTTTTGAGTACATTGATAAAAATGAGTGTATAATGTTTCACGTATTTAGACAAACGCTACTCAGGAGTGTGAAGACTTAAAGTATGGTGAGGCACCTCAGTCCTTACTTTTAGATCCAACTAGGAACTTGGAAGAATTCATCATGAAACCTGCTCCTCAGGTAAATGTAACAGAACTATTTTATATTGTCAATTATCCAATTATTTTCAAATTGCAATTGTTATGTTCAATCATTCAACTTAGCTACTGTATATAGCCTATACACCTAATTGTCCTAAAGTGGAAAGGAAGAGAAAAGGCAGTACTCTGTAGAAAGCCATATTACTGACTAGATACGAGACAACTCAGATGTATTTAGATAAATTGATCCTAGAATTGACACATGGGTATTGGATTTAGCTAAATATATGATAGGCTTACTGATTGTAGGTCACCCTCGCTTAAATCGGACTTACCATAGGCTTTTCTGTTTTCATTTATAATTATGGACGAGAGGTGGGAAAATAGCGGTGTACGAGATTATCCGTGAAAGCTGCTAAGTATGAGATAATTTGAACGTGACACTTTTTACTAAAATCTTGCAACATTTTATCCGAAGGACTTATTTTGCTGTCTCAAACAAAATATTTCCTGAATACAATGGACCAGTAAAAAACTACATATTCATACTCATTTTGTTGATAATGCGATACTGTTAACGCTGATAATTGTGTAATTAAATGTTAGTCTTTTTAATGGTTGATGCACTTCAGTTTATTAATTGAAAATGTACTAGCATTCTGTATGTCGCCCCCACCTGTTGCTCTACCTGTAATCATTGAATCACTTCACAAAAACGTATGCCCACCTCTATTATGTATGCTTCACTTTGGCTTCCAGAATTTTATAATTGGGAAAATTGGTTAGTTAATTGGAATCAGTTAAAATAAAACAACACTTAAAAGTTGACTTATATTACCTTAATATTTGACAAGGGTAATCGTTCACCACACACTAGTTATTAAAACGTTAACATATACACATGTGGTAACTCTATATCATACTATTTTGTGAAATGATGAACTGTTACTTCTGAGCTGCTAGATCTTCAGTCAATCATAAGAAAATCCAATATCATTGTTTCAAATTCTTTTAAATTGAACTTTCACTACCATTTCTTGCAATTTAATTGATATATTATGGATACCATGACTTGTGTTTGGAGTCCGTTTTATTTTTCTCTGTACATAGCTCATGATCAGTAATACAGATTTATTTTAATGAGCAAAACCTGTTCAAATTCTCATGCTAATAATTTCAGTCCCAAAAGATACTATTGTATCTAATTCTCCAGAAATCTTCAAGTTCTAAAAAATAAATGATAATTCTCAATAACCGCACCAGTCCATTTTGATTATCTGTAGTACTGTGGTGTGTGCCACTTATATTGACATAAGTAGTATATGATGTTAGTCGTGAACAGAAGATCTGGCAGCAGAGACAAGACGATCGAACAGTAAAGAGTGGAAACAAAATGCAAGAACAATGAAGTATGAGTCATTTTGAGACAATTGGTGGACATTTTGCAAATTAAGCATTTACTTTATGATTGTTAGATTTTATTAACAAGTCCTGTAATTTTGTGTTAAATACATTCAATTGTCCCCACCCGTGTTCTGTTCACTACAGTACTTTAGAAGCTACAATGGCACAACAACCACTTGTCTTGAGTGTAGATATGAAATTTTTGATTCATTTCAGGATTCTCGAAATAACATTTTATCGTTTGTAGTTCAGAAGTTGCTTGTATCTTAATTTCCAATTAATTTTTTGACTTTAAAGGGTGTGACCATACGTTGTCGTATTACACGAGACAAACGAGGTGTCGATCGTGGAATTTTTCCATCATACTATCTTCATCTTGAAAAAGAAGACTGTAAGTTCTTCTTACTTGCAGCCAGGCGTCGCAAGCGATCAACAACGAGTAACTATGTGATTTCTTGTGATGCCACCAATTTATCTCGTGATGCAATTAGTTTTGCCGGGAAACTGCGCTCTAACTTTCTGGGTACTCATTTTACTGTGTACGGCTGTGAATCAAAATCACGAGATAGTGAATCCTTAAATTCAGGGGACAAGGTAAATGATTCTGGTTCGATAACGACAACTACTAAGACACACAATATGCTAGAGCTTGCTGCAATCATATACGTAAGTTTTATTAACAGTACCTGTAGACCTGATTACGTCACGAATCCTAGAAACTGGTTTTTGATGAGCAATGGTGACCAGCAGAGGAGTAGGTCTATGGATGCTTAGGACCTACCAAACAGAAAAGTGGGATTAGTCCATAAATCCGTTGACTGTTGGAAGTAGCCATGTCAAGTGATGGAGGTTTCAGGACAGATTATGCGAATTTCTCCAAACATATGGGTGGGGAACATAGATAATGAATTTTGATTGGTTTCATTTGTCTCATTCCTATTATATTCCGTATGTTTTGTGTTGTCGATTTCTTGCCGCTCTGTGGACGAGAAAGTTCGGTAAATTGAGTGGAAATACATTGAGTTAAGTTCTCATTATATACCTCAAACTTCTTTAGTAAGCTTGTCACAAATATAACGGATGATAACGAAAACATGACCTTGAAGCAAATGTTCAAAACATGATTAGCAAAAATGTACTAAAAACCTTTTTTGAGCTTAACATAGATGAACACTTCTGTATCCTCATTCAGATAAAAAGATACAGTGAACATTATATCTATTTTTCTAGGTACACTCCATAAAGCAGCTTTAACATGTGAATTTCGTAAAATAACAGGATGTTATAGGTAATACTTCAGCCAATAATAAGTAACTGGTTATTTACTTGTGTAAGTTTTACGAATGTGTATGAATGAAGAAACATTTTATTAGCTAAAACGTTAAGGTTAAAATGACTGTTTTTCAAATATTAAGTGCGATATTGTCTAAAAAGTCTTTAATAATAATAAATTTTTGTCCGATTAAACATAGTCTACTATCAATAAACCAGCTTTCATTCCACAATCATGGAAGTGATTTTCTTGATATTGTACCTTTACTCGTTTTTCTCAGGATAAAAACGTACTGGGTTTCAAAGGACCAAGGAGAATGACTATTATTTTGCCGCGCTTAAGTGCTACTTGTCAGCACTTTTCATGTCCTGGAAATGTATGTCTTTAGTCAATATACCATTTTTTCAAAACTCAATATCGAAATAATATTTTTGTGATAATAAAGTTTTGTGTAGGTTGTTATGTTTAAAAATGACACTATTAGCTTGCGAAATGTCGGTCTTATTGGAATAACCATTCTAGAGTTAGCTCTTTCAATTCGTAATCTGGTGTCGTTAATTTCCTGTTGAGCTGAACTCACTCATTTATATTTAAATGGTGGTTAGTGCCACTTTTTTAACCACAGTCGGCTAGTATGTTATAGCAACAAGACATTCGTCGTCGCTGGTGCTCGATATTACTATGTATTGTTGATTTTTCTCTTTACATGAATATAATAATTGTCTAGTCACATCTCGTTTATAAATACTTGTATTGAAGTTCTAAATTATTATCTATGAATTTATGCTTACTCATGCATAGACGTATTCTTATTCAGTTATTTGAAAGGTATAACGTAATCGATCTATGTCTATTTTGTTTAATAATCAAAATTTAGTAATGAGAACTGTAATTCTACGCTGCATTGTACGCACTTATTTCTAAAGTAGTTCATGCTTCAGTTCAGTTCCTTTTTATAAACATCTCCGTTGATTCATCAAGCGTGATTTTCAAATTAACAATAACACGACGGCCTGCTTGAGCATCTGGGCTACCTGTTCCTGCCATCTAGATATTTCAACAAGTTATTTATTTTGTTTGTTTTAATGTATCATTATGTTTATTAATCGCATAACTTATTCTGCTGCGTTTCTGAAAAGTGTACAACCTTTCGTTGTCAAGGTTACAAAAAGCTCAATAAGAGACAACGTGGTTGCTGGCAATATACAACGAAAAGAATGCACATTATTCAGATGTTCATTTACTGAACTGCTAACATCTAACTGGCGATCACTCAATATTTATCGCCAGGACCGACGAAGAAGAAAGAAACGGAAACTTGTTGAAATACTTTACGCTGAGAATTCTATATTGTACCAAAAAATATAATATTGAATAAAGCTGAAAAATACAATATAATAATAATCTTTAATTAGCAAATATTCTTTGTTCATTTAGGATACTACCTGGCTAATCGACTCATGGCGGAGAAAAGATATGCAGAACGTTCTACAACTACAAAACAAGAATCCTGTTTGGAATGAAGGTAAGGCAACATGTATATTGATTCATCCTTCAAAATGGTATTGTCCAAAAAACGGAGCATATTTCTTGTTTATCGTTTACTGGCCTAAAATGGTAAACATTTAATTCCTTGTTGAAAATTAATCGTGATCCAAGTAAAAACAAACTGTGGTCTGTAATCATACGAACGACTGTACGATTGGGCATTCTTGAGATATAATGTACTTTATGAATAATGTTTATAAAACTTATTTATAAATTCTATCATAATACAGTAGTAGTGTAATGTTGTGATAAACGCTGTTAACTGGTGTATTTCAGTCTATTGTATACATGAGATGAAATTCAATGAGTCGTTGACAACCTCAAATATATCTGTCAGTATTTGTTTGTATACAGCAAAAGGTATCATTCAGGAAATTAGTAATTGGAAAACAAAGACCCCAAACTTTGCGAACCTGTTTTTCCAAAAGGTATTTTCACAGCTGGCATAAAAGTGTTAGCTATTGGAGTCCGAAAATTGGGTACAGTAAGGCATCACTAAATATGTTGAACGGTAATAGTAATGTTCTACAGCATTTTTTCAAATGGCTTACACGTCAAAGTATTCCCAGTCTGTCAGAATTGATTGACTATCGTCATGATGCTGTAGAATGCTCACCGAAATCTAATGTTCACACTCAGAGCATTTTTATGACATGTGTCTTTATTCGTCGTTTTCGATATATCTATTGATTGTATTGTGTGTCATTCAGGTAAGATTGAAATTCTTTCGTGATATGTTCAAGTTCGTAGGCTTTCAGATAGAAGTAACGGAAATGCACGATTTCTCTTACCAGTTCAGGGGGGCATTTTATATCTTAGTGTACATGAGAAAGGTTCGAATGGGTCAGAACTGACATCCATAATACCTTTTTCATTTCAGATTGCTATAATTTGTGTAAGGACTGTTTTACCCTCGAAAGTACTATACAAAAGTATGTTGATTTCTTGGATGACTATTACTACTCCCGGATCTCACTTGCGTATCAAAGGGATGTCCGTAGAACGTTATGGTCTGGGTTTTTGTGGTAGCCAGTCGTCTAAATGGGTTGGAACTTCATTTGCACCATTCAAATTCACTTATTTCTCACTGATGGTTCAAAATTTCAGTTGACCAATTCTTCGATGAATCGTTAATCTCCGTTAAACCACTAACAAACTTGCGCTTCTCTTTCCTTGTTTTTGCAGAAAGTATGTCTGTTGGATAAAAGTTCCACTTACTTAGCTAAGGCTATAAAACTTTAGCTGTTTGTAAGTAATTCGATTATATTTCCTGTACAACGTGTTAGGACCGGATATGTTCTTCTACCATAGATTTGCTCTATTTATTATTCCTTCACGTGTTTTCGTAAAAAAGTTAGTGGAAAAAAATCTGCACGTTGTTTATCTCATCAGAACTAAAAACCTTTTATGTGGTTTGAAATGCCAAACTGTTTATTGGCCAACTAGATAATCGATCCTTTAAACTGTTGTCATGGGATATATAAGCATGTGGAACAAATTTTCATGTCTTTGTGAATGTCCTTCTTGACGACTATATTGTTCTAGGATCTCTAACTGTAAGCAAAAAGCAGTCCTACCTATCGAATTTTTATCGCAAGTCCTAAGTAATTGTGAGAACTAACGACTGAAATGTTTCTCCAACTTTTCTAATTGTTCGAATCTTTGTGGTAAACAGGCGTAGCTAGATAATAAACAATAACAAGATAATCTCTAAATACTTGTTCATCGTCATTTGTATAGTTATATTAAAGTTATGAACATACTAGGTAGCATATTAGTATGCAGAATAAGTCATTAAAATTGACTGATGTACATATGTGCCTGGTCCTACCTTGTAGCTGACTGACTTACAGTTATTGAAATCAATATTATGCTCTGTGGGGGCCTGATATGCGTCAGTTTACAGGAGATTTAAGAGCTGATTGTTACTCCTTGATTTCTGAGTGGATCTCCAGAAATTCGTAGTTCCCAACGTATCAATAGAAACATGGACTGTGGGACCCTCTCTGATACTTTGCTGAAAGCAACATAAGATACATACGCAGGTTCACTGTTATCTAGGGACTTCATCTTTTAGTGAGGAACAAGTTGTTCTACCGTTTTTATAACGATATGATACGCTGATTATTAATATTTAGGGTTTTAAGATCACAATAGTTTTTCCAAAGGAACTATTTCGTATTCCGATATCGGTTTTCCCAAGCCACACAGTATTTATATTGATGGGTGGTGTCTATATCCTATTTTACGGTTTTGAGTGACTGTGGTATACCTTTATTCCTGTGATAAATTACCCTTATGAAGAGGTCATTTCATCATTGCTGCCCATTGAGCAGCTACGTACATTGTAATTTGGACTGTAGCCCATCTAGTCCTTATTTACTCTCCTGTTTATATATAGCATACTGTTTTTAGTACGTTGTTCCTATTAGCTTCCATAAAAAGTAACATATTCTTTACAGTAGCTTCTGGATTGTTTTAGAGATTAACTGATGATCCATCGAACACGATGCGTCCACTTTTTTTGGATTGACTTAGATGCTCATATTAAGCAACAGTACTAAGAGTACCGACAACATAATGGCATTTGTCTTTTTGAAACGGTCGGATATACAAAGAATTCGGTCACCAAGTTTTGCAGTTGTCTGAAAAAAACACTGGAGCTCCAAGTGATTTCCACCATATCAGTACTTTATAGATAAGTGCAACAGCGAAGAGCAGGAGCTGTTTGTAAAAACAGCTTCGAGAGCGACCTAAATACTATACGTGACCTCCTGAGCAGAAATCTATCGTTTGTCGGAATTTCTAACAAAACCTACACCTATAACAGAAACTAAGGTGAAATAACTGTCTACCTAAGTAGCCTCTGATCCTTACATTGTAGATTAATAATGAGTCGACGAAACTGTACAAGTTTATCCATCGCACCTCTAAACATCACGCATGACGGTCGGGCGGAGAATAGTAACAAACAATAAGGAACCCTATCCTCGCATACTGTGTCATTAAACTGGGGCAGATGCTTAACCCTCAAGGTTATCTAGCAAGTGCTATCCCATGTTTTATTTCTTACAATTTCGCTCCTAACATACTGTGGGCCATAAGAATTTAGAAGAATGAAGCTAGTCTTCGTGTCCATTGTTTGTACGACACTTTCCTAACTGACTAGTTTTTGTATCTATTTCATTACTAACAACCCACGATTATTCTTATTGTTAACATTAAATTTAGTTACCGACTCACATTTTCTTAATTGGTAATGAATTTATATTCAATTATAAAGCCTTTCTAACCTTCGGTTAAGGTGGAATATTTGTCCCCTTTCGAATTTTCGTTAAGGTTATTCACTTGAGCTGTTTCACTAAGAATCTTATTTACGAAGCTACGATTACAGTAACTTTGTTCACCGAGTTGAAACATGTTAGTTTATCCCAGATGATACCTGTAGCCGCTGTTTACGCATTCAGTTCAACGTATGCATTGTGTTGATTACCAATTGATCTTAAAAGACCCTATCGCCAGGTTTGTTAATATTTACTAATACATAGACTCATTCTTCTTCGCTTATACATTTTCAGAGACCCAATCATACGTGCTCAATTTTCATGGTCGCGTCACGCAAGCTTCGGTGAAGAACTTTCAAATCGTACACAGAAGTGACGGTAAGATTCCTATCACATTTCTAGAAAAGCCTTTCTTGTCAGTCGTATTTCAAAAACTTTCTTGGTGCAATCATGCCACCAACGAAGTCGTGAAGGGATATGTTGGTTCCATCGTACGAGTAACTTTTTGAGGGCATACATGATCATCCAACCCCATATGTCAGAGTTCAGAAGCAATATTTCTAACATATAACATGACTGTAGGAAATCGAAAGATATCCTTACATTATTGATTTTCATATTGTAGGATTTTCACATGAAAATACACTGTTAATAATACTAGCACGTAATCACACTTAAGTTGGACTACAATGATTCTAACATATTTCTGACAAAGTTGAATGACTGACCGTAGGTGACAACAATATCTAATTTAGCTGAGGTGACCCGACTGCTGAAGAACCGTAGGGGACAGACGCTATTGTAGAAAGTCAGTCGGCGGGACTAAATGGTGTCTTGAGGAATAACTAACCGAACTTACATGTCGATAATCATATTCATGTCTATTAAGCTTGACGCATTTTCAGTATGGCCGAAGGTGAGGAGAGTCAGCTTTCCCTCTCGAAATTTTCTTATATAGTTACTGTCAGGGAAGTCCTACTCATTGTCTTCTCGCGGTGGGGGTGTTGTCAGAATTTGTTTGCTAGTCTTAAACCCAAATTCTACCGATCAACACTGAAGGTGGAATATCACCTCTCCATCAAAGTTTATAGGTTATCTACAGGTTTGTTTTCTGTTTCGATTGCATTCGAGCTGCAGCTGAGGGTCATGAGTTTCGAACTTTGAAAACGTCGTTTATTCAAACAACGCATTACATATTAATTAGTATCTGCTCTGCAATAGTTCTATAACATAATAATAATCATTAAGAATAAAAGATGTTCGTAGACCACTAGTATTCGATCGTAGGTGTTTTCGAAGCATTCCTCTTGCATTTCGTGATCACTGAGTAAGCAATGCTTTGGCTAGAAACACGGTACTAGATTAGGATGGTGAGTCCATTGATGGGGTAGCAAATCTTAAACAGATGGTTGAGACGTGTGACGTAAGCCCAACCACAGCCTACCTCGACGGGAGATGTGTGGTGTGAGAGTAGACCGGAGGAGAGCTAGAAATGGACCAACTGAAAGCATGACATCAATCCATAAAATCATCGACGACTGGAAGGTTGTATAAACTACCTGGTTGGCGTCCGCCTGCTTGTCGTAACTAATAGTTACAGACTTGGAGTGACATAGCTGGAAACCGTTAGCAGTGGCACACGTGCATCCATTCTTTGTCTTACTTCAATTCTAAGCTTTTGGATTCCGTACAACTTTTCTATTTCACTAATTTATATTTCCTTCAGTTCCTGATTGTTCGGTTACTAACACTATCCTGAGATTCGACTTGACAACTTCATCTCCGTGTTAATGAGGTGTGGTAACTTGGACCGATGTACATACGTACCAGGTCCCACGTTATCACAGACCGACCACCGACCGTTGTTGCTACCTTGACGTGGTGGTTGGGCTTGCCTATCGTGATGAAGCAACCGAGTTATACTGGCTGGAACAACCGTTCCTCAAGGTCCTACCATGTCAGACAGGTCGGTTGAAAAGAGGTAAGACTAAAAGCAACAAACCCAAGGTCCGAAGGCGAAGTCGTACTGCTGACTGTACAGAGGTGTGACAGCAGTAAGGTGTTTCCTTCAGACAACCAGCATGACAGCGACGCTGCCTTCCCACAAGGAGGGATGGGGTTAGAAAAGGTCGACCCTAAAAATGCACACCTCGCCTTATCCCACGGATATCCGTCTCCGGCGGTAAGGTCTCAATAAGTACGGAGCTAACACAAAAATTACCCATAACAAGGTCGTGTGTGACCGACCTCAGGCAGTTGTCCCTTGGGCACTGCGGTCACGCTCTCAGGTCACTAAGACCACCTTTAATCCAATTTCCTTTTCAGGTACCCTCAGAACTGACTGACTATTGAGAGCTTGAATTATTTTGAAATGAATGTTGCGCGTTAACCATGGGTGGATATGTTAAATTTGGTATACGAATGGACACCATTAGATCTATAGGTATGTTAGTGGCTGGCACCACCACTGTTTGCACTATCGAAAGTTATTTCTCGTCAAGCTTGTAAAAAAAGAAACGGGACAACTTTTGTTATTCTCACCTTCGTGGTCTCGTTTTCCGTTAAGAGCATCACTGATAATTTGTTTACAAGAACTGTAATACAACTACTCAAACGATTATCTGACGGCGATCCTTTAGCTCTAGATTTTTAATTCTTATTATTTTGAGAATTCATGATACAAACGTTTTAGTATGTATCATATTGCGACATGGTAACGGCCGTGACAGATTTTACGTAACTTTTGTCACCAAACTGCTTGATTTCTACCAACTTAATTCAGATGTCATCATCTTGGACTGTCCAAGTACATATACTGACAACAAATTGTTTTGTGTTATCTTTTTTAGATGAATACATACTTATGCAATTTGGACGTATCTCTGAGGACGTCTTCACAATGGACTATACGTATCCTATGTGTGCCCTACAAGCATTTGGGATCGCTTTATCTTCCTTTGATAGTAAATTAGCATGCGAATAGTTATCTTTGCATTTATTACGAATTATGACTTTACAAGCTTTATGTAGACTACTAAAAACGGAGTCTACTTATTTTTTGCCAAATTATATACTTTCCCACAGCACATACCAAATTCTCAATATGATATATTCAACCTTCAGCAACCTCAATAGCCATAAGTTCTGCCGTTATGTCACTAAAATATCCGATTTACATAGTCTGTAACAACCGATTTTACATCCACTTATATTTGTACATCATGTCAACCTAGATCTGAACACAAAGATCCTATTGTTGAAACATGGATAACTATAAAAACAACTATTCTAAAGTATTACTCAGTAGTTTAAAAATTGTTTATAAATGTTTCTTAGTTATCTAACTTGGTTTTTAGTAACTCTTCTTATTTGATCATACACTACTTCAAATAGTATTTGCAATAGACATACGATTGTAAAACGGTTCAAATTACACAGATTATTTTGAATCCTAATTGCTTTTAATGGTTAACTATCGTCTGGCAATTGCATTGACAAATTAAAAATCATTGTATTTTTTCGGTTTACTGTGAAAAACGAAGATGTTAGTTCTAAAATGTAAAATAGCATGAAAGTACAAAAATGTATTAGGTTGACATTTCAACCCATTAGTTTGAATATCGCTAAGGAGTATTGAAACAGAAAGCTTTAGACTTGCTCGACTATTAAGCTAAGTAGTAAAAACTGCTTTAGTTTTTCTGTAGTTGCAGTGTTAATTTAGAGATATTTTTGATGTACATCGGTATGCTCCACATACAGTCTCCTTTTACTACGGTGTCTAACACAATAAAAACTAGATGCTATAAACTAAACATTAGTAACGTCTACCATAATACTTACATTTAATATAGAAACAGTTAGGAATGTTCTCAAGTTGCTTTACTTCATGAGGAAGTTGATACTAATAAGGAAACTAATAAATCCCGAGTTGTGATGGCTATAATGTCAACTAACTGGGCTGGAAAATGATTTTTCGATGAAATTTGGATTTAAAACCTACTTCACGATAAACGTTCGGGGAGTATCACTACCCTGACAATAACTACAGTAACTTATTGGTCAGAATACTAGTTAATACAGCTATATAATGACCAAAACCGATCGATTTTTGACGACCCTAAGGACTTTTGTCCGATTGCTGACAGTACACGTCGGTGGCGTCGTTTCAAACATGGCAATTCAAAATATTTGTCCAGTTTTCTGTCTCGACTATTGTGGCTAGTATGTTATGCGGCGATACAGATATTACGTGGCGATAAAGTAATGTGACCAAGATTATATATATATATATATATATATATATATATATATATATATATATATATATATATATATATATATATATATATATGACGTAGGCTAACCATAATTTTAACCATTAACAAGCGGTTCGACTACCCGTATGAACAAATATCTGAACCCATGAACTTGAGAAAAAAACGTCTTATTGCAAGATTATGACTGATTAGGCTAAGATGTAGTTACAAACTGCAAAGTAGGTTTATTATCTCACGGATAACCAAACTGTGTGCAGGCTCATAACACCTACAACTGAAATATTAAGCGATGATGACAAAAGATGCAATGAACTTACATTGAATCTTTTTGCGATCTCAGAGAGCTTGTTCGTCCCAAAATCAAAGGCGTACTTAAGGTTAGATACAGAGCCACTAGGGAAGGAAACAACGGTTGCAACAGAACCACATATGGATGCGTAAACCAACTTGCGAAAAGAACGGCCTGTAAAGATTAGTTTGAAAACACAACTGAACTCACTTTTATATCCAAGTACCCAGCCTCCCAAACTACAACTAACAACGAATCCTAGACGAGCCAATACAACCGGTTCATCCCTTATTACTTTGGTTATAGCTAATTCCGAAAATATATAACATGAATGACGTACATGTGGTGAGATTTCTAATGCTTGATTGGTACATTAATGCGTGTTTCTGCAGATCAGTAAATTAAAATCTGGGACGAACATTACCATCGAGTACGTAAATAGTTCTTGAGCTTCTGTCCTTATAGGACTAACAGAGTTCATAACAGTACTTGTAACTGTATTTGGCTCTAATCTCTCAAGAACATACGTCTTACTGTCGAGACACTCAGCATAGATTGGCAACTAGGGTACGTTAATGAAAAGAAGTCTAACCTCATCCAACTTCATGATTACCGCCGAACTCTGCGAACTCAACACTTTCAAAATGCTTGATATAAACAGAGTATATAAAACTATTGGCTGTAAGTGTTGTATTCTCTGCACGCGCTTCGTTGTAAAAAATCACATTAGCGATTCTTAGTTTGATTTATTCATTTTTCCCATGTTCTTTTCAATGGACTATAGGACTGTTAGGACTGAGAATATTATATTACCAGTAGTTTAGTTAATCTCAGTCAGAGTAACGGGATATGAAGAATGTCTGATTAGGTGTGAATGAAAAGTGAGGCAGGATTGAAATGATAATTAAGACAAATACGTAAGTGGGGAGATATGAAGAAATATCAACATATGTAACATTGGGTGGGGGGAGGCTGGTCACTCCAACTTTATCCTACTCTGTGATTTCACTAGTCATCCCACCTGGCTGAGGGAAGTTCGTATGCTTTTGTATGCTCATCTAATACTTGCTTGCAACGGTCCATCGAAAAGGCTATAGGTACGATGGTTATGAGGGCGTTTCATGTAGAACAGATACATGATGCATAAACTGGGGTGTTACTTTGGTATTTTCCTATTAGTGGACAACCCTGTGAGGATTTTCAAGTGCGTCACTATGATGACGCTCTGGTAAGATTACCTTGCTGCAATGGTCGGAGCAGGTTGTGATGTCACCCTTCTGTCTTCTGTAGGTTAGTGATTTTATTTATTTAGATACACAAATATTGGCAAAACTGAGCACCAAAGTAAATCGCTTACAGACAACAGTCCTAACTCTCTCATCGAATCCCCACATAATAGGGGCCCTGGAATTACAACCCCTTTGATCGTGTAACTCTGTACTATTTCTTAATTTCGAACTATCAATCAAAGTCAAGTTGCGAGAACCTTCTGCATGCATTAGGATGTATTTTAGTCAAATGGAATTCGGTTACCTACCGAAATATGACAACGCAGGTTGTGCGTAACTCGGTCAGATAGCTAAAATCGTCTTAGAAGTAAATCCCTTGATGAGATGAAAATATTCAGCTACTCGTGTCTACCCTGGAGGTACTATGAGTACTGGAAAACGTGCAGAGAATGGTGGAAATTTGGAAGGATAAGGAACAAGAGATGTGAGCCAAAAACTCAGTAAGCCCGTATATAGGATGCAGTCAGTCTTCAGGAGTAAGGGTTAGAGGTCAAGTGGCCCATGTTAACCATTGAGATTTATAGTAATGTGAAGATACAATATCTCTTCGAATGTATCAACAAGTTCTGATACTACGTTTTCCGTCAGAGAATTCCAGTAATTAACAACTCCAGATTTAAACGGTTTGATCTTGGTTTGGAACTATCTGAGAATATCCTTTCAGACTACCTGAAAAGAAAGATAAAACATATTAGTACAAAAACCAATGTTTAGTACATTGTAATACGTCACCCCACGATCTACTGTCGGATAACAGAAATGGGTTGAAGCGTCCCAGCCTGTTGATAAGACAAGTCAGAAAGACTGCAATTTTGGTTCCTCGTCGTTGAACCTGTCGCAGAATATCCGTTTCATATTTGGAACAACGATTCGTTTACTGAACTCGGTATTTTAAACGAGGTCTCACATACGTCGGGCAGAATATCCTAGATGTATTTTCCTCCAAGTTATGACAGGCTTTACGGATTACCTACAAAATAAGGAAACTTTTGGCAGCGCCCATCTTAGTTACCCATGATTCTGTGCTCATTAATTGCTGTGGCTTTTAAAATAGTATTATTGATGTTAGTTGAAAGCACTTCATCTATTATCTACTTGCATAATTCGTCACAACGATCTATTTACCATACCATGAGCATGCTAGAATTTACTGCTAACAAACACCAGTCTCCAGCCTTCACATATTCTTGCAATAACAAGGTGCCGTTTACTCTCACACGTTGCCTCCTATTACTAAGAAGTTCATCAGTCTGATCTTGATGTATAATCCATTACGAAGCCTTCCCACTCTGCTCAAAGACCCAAATGAGAGATCTAATCAAAGTCTTTACTGAGGTTCACAAAAATTACATCTACCGGAATACTTTCACCTTTTGCTAAAGCCGAATCTAATTACGGAATCAGATTAGCCAAACATGAAAGATGTGTTCAAATATAATAAACAAATAACATGAAAGACATGATCTAAAAGCCTGTCGTCCTTTAGACAGAAAACCATTCCTTCCTCATGACGTAGAACACCAGCCCAAATAATATTTTTCATTTATTTTACCAAAATAATAGTAAAGTTAACCTAGTGGTAGTTATTGTTAGGAATAAAACAAACATACAAACTAGGAGTGAGTCATATTTTTCAGTCAAGTCAATTTATTTATTTACTATGAAAATCATACTACATGTTAGATTATTGACTAACTTTAGTTACTTTCGTCCAAATTTATTCGCTGACCGAACATTTAAAATGATATGTAACTCTCATTGTGAATGTATTAATTAGTAACTGCTGAATAAAGCATCCTTCTGTAGTCTTATTTTCTTTCTTGTTACTATACCAGTCTTGTTTATTTCAATAAGTAGCAAGTGGTAGTTTGTAGTCACACTAAACAGTCTTCAGACTACTCGTTCTGACAGACCCGTTTTCCTCTTGATTCTATCTTCCAGTTATACCGGCGTATTGCTATTATCTTTCTCCTGAGAACAAGTTAACTTGAAACTTTGTTACTCAAACCCTAGGAACCTTAATAAGTATACGTGGAGGGGATCAGTACCACCATAGGCTCTCTTGCTTAAACTTATTAGTTCTTGACATGAGTACCTGATGAATAAGTCGGGAATATGAGACAGACAAACAGCTCAACTTAATATGAAGCATATGAAAGTCTGGATTCAGGATCCGAGTCACTCGACCCCTCCAAGCTCCACGCAATAGTATCAGGAACAGTTTGACCTTTCCTTATTTGCCTCTTCAATGATTTATATTCACCACCAACTGGACCTTTCATGATATGACCCTTTAAGTCACTAATATATTTCGATTCTCTGTCGAAATGACTCGAGATATAACCTTCACATAAGATTAGCTTGCTGTTATTTAAGAGTTCGTTCTTTATCGAAGGCTCTCGGTTTTGTAGCGCTTATCGTAGTTTTACTAATGACAATAAAATAATCTTTGTTATCTACACTAGAATTTCTAACCAGAGCCTCCTGGATCAGTAATGTTTTACACGAATAGAAAAACAAACAGCTACAAGCACTGGTTATATGCAGTATCACAGTGGACTTGTGAGTCTTTAAACTACCTTATCGGATTTTATCAAGCTATTCAGAAGGCAGTAAGTATAAATGAATAGCTTAGCATCTCCGTTATAGAACTTAATATATGGATGGAGATCGGAACTAAGAATTAGGACTTATGTATGCCTAAATGATGTAACCAAAATTCGGTGAAACTATAACTATATATTTGGCCCGCAACTTTTTTATCCATTTTTGTATTGATCCTTGCACGTTAATACAGTGAATTAGTCTAGGTTGTATTTTTCAGGCCCAGTCTGGAAAAATTCTCTCTTATATGAAAGGTTAGCAGATCAACTTCTGCACTAGAAGTTACATATTCACTTGATACACAATACAACTGTGATGCTGGTCTATGAGTAAAATTATAAGATTTTGACTTGAATTTCATTAGTACTTCGGAGAGCCTAGTCAGTCGAAAATCTCTAGTCTGGTCCGTCGTTGAATGATAGTTGATTGATAAACTCATGACTTCCAGTTAAGTTATAAAAAAGTAAATACTACAAGTTTAAAATAGAAATTTCATTCGTAAAGTCCGAAATATCACTCAAAGTATAGGTCTAATAATAATTAGGATAGCAGTTTTTATGAAAAATCTTCATTTTTTGGGTTTTCTGAGCGCAAATCTCAATGTACCGTCTGAAGCAAGATAACACTCAAAAGTCCAAAAGTATGAAGGAACCAATGACAAACTTTGGTTGGAACAAGTGCACTAGAAAACTAGTAAAACGGATGAAATTCTCAACAATTTCTGATAGTCCGTTAAATGTCCGGTTTCGTTTGTAATGGTACCTAAGAACAGGTTGCCGAATAAATGCTGTTAAATGCTAGCATATAGAGTTGTAAAATTATAAATTAGGAGACAGGTTATTGAAAAAACATCAAGCAATAGTAGGACAATCAAGTTTGTTATATGGACGGAAAACGAACGACAATAATGTGTTTTCAAAGAACAGTGTGTCGTGTAAGTCATTGGATTTTTCAGATAAGATTGAAGTGTTATATATGATGTAGAATGTTTCAGTATATGTTGGTGAAATAAGCTGACATGCCACAAGACACCTCTGTTATAGAAACAATGGGATAATTTTGGGTATATTAAAATATGAATGATGTCGTTAAAACTCGAATATTCAATGTAACATTTTACATGCTTGCTGTGCATATGTATTTAAATAGGTTAAGGAAGACAAGTCTCAATTATGGAGGCGGATGAACCAAGAAGTGTATAAACGGAAGAGATTCTAAATAACTGTGAATCTCATGATTGTGTACAAAACACTTGAAAGTATAAGAACAGGATTATCGTGGTAATAGTGATTATGGTATCACAGTCGCAGGTATGAAGTGATAGTTTTTTCTACAGTTATCTGTGTGGTACAGTAAAATCTGGCAACTCACTGCTTTTTTTGTGTCTTACAGTTAGCGGTATATATAAGTCGTTTTTTATTTGTGGGCAGAGTCATGGATCATATATTATCTTGTAGAAAAATATCGGTTTGTTTCTTAGCCGACGGCGCCATCAAGGTTGAACGTAGACCCACGTCCTAGCAGCTGACAAATGAGGCCTCTCTGTATATCGTCTACTTATATCTTGTCTATGGTATCAATGTTTGAGAAGACAAATGAGCAGTATTCAAGGAAGGGTCGTATACTTTTGTGCTCATCCTCGATGACGAAGGAATTTTCGATGAAATCCATTGGTCTTCTACATTTAGAAATAGTCATTGAGACATGTTCTGCA